CTATACAATGGTTTTTATAAAGGTCAACTAGTTCGCTTTCTAAAGACTCCTCTATATTTTTGATATGCAAGCCAAAAGCGTTAGTATTCAAGATAACTGGCAAGAAGGTGGTACCCTCATCTACAAAATTTTGGTAGTATATAAAGCAAACACTGTCAACGAAGTTTTTAGTAATAAAACAAAGGAGAATAGCAAAGAAATGAGTTATTCGACACACTTCTTAGAAAATTTAAAGGTTATACTTTCAAGAATCCTTCACATATTTTCACTCTTCTTTGGTATTTTTTTAGAAATTTTTTTGCCAAAAAGTAAGAAATCTGGCATACCTCCTTCAAAAGATCTACAATGTTTATCAATTCTAAATTGGGAACAGGTATTGCCAAAATAGGCTTCAAAATAGTGCGGAAAGGCTACCACGTATATCTGAAGCTTCTAGAAAATTCTGGCAGGTTTTACTCTATCCCAAACATATATATATATATAATGCATTAAATTAGAGTCAAGCATTATATAATTTTTACAATAGTTAGACTGAGATTTAACACTTGTATTGTCTCATATCTTTTTTGTCAAATTTTTTTTTCTCTTGTCTGTATTTTGTTTTTATTTTTATTTTTTCTTGTTTTTTCTTTTTTTTTTTTTTTCATTTTCTTGGTAAAATCATTTAGTTAATTCCCCACTTTATTCTTTTGTCCTTTTTGAAGAAGGAAAAATTTAAGAAAAAGTAGCCTTGACAAAGCTAGCAATAAGCTTCTTAATGAATCAGAAATATAGCTCTAGCAAGTTAGAGCCCCAATGAGGAAAGGTATTATTGCTGCATGAAGTCACACATAGATACTTTGGTAACTGGGTGAGTCTTTATTGTATAAGGAGGGAAATTTATATAGTTTCTATGTAATTTTTTTAGTAGCCTATTACTATTATCTCTTATAATAAAGGCAGGACTACGTATAAAAAAAAAAAAAAAAAATTATTTAATTAAAGAATATTGCTAACTTTCATTTTAGATGATATTACCTAGTTCAGAAATTAGCTTAGAAATTGGTTTAGAAAGAACAGACCCAATTATATAACAACCTGAAAATCAGCACATAAAAAATAAAAATAACTATATATTGTATTATATCTCAAATATAACTATATACTATATATATATTTTGAATCTAACTGCTAACTATAGTTCTAACTACTGCACTATGTTTAAAACCTAATTACCATATCTAACTACTATATGTTTTGAAGCCAACTACTAACTACTACACTATATCTAAAACCCATTTACTATATATTTCGAATCTAACTATTAACTACTACACTATATCTAGAACTTAATTACTATATCTAACTACTATATAGTTTGAATCTAACTACTTACTACTGCATTATATCTAAAATCTAATTACTATAACTACTATATATTTTGAATTTAACTACTACAGTATATCTAGAATCTAATTACTATACCTAACTATACTATATCTAGAATCTAATTACTATTTAGAATCTATTATACTATATCTAATTACACTACTAAAACTTAATTACTATTTAAAATCTAACTATTATACTACATCTAGAATTAATTACTATACTACCCCAAAATCTAACTACTATGCTACATTTAGTTCTATTTATTGTATCACTTCTAGAATTAAATATTGTGTTGTGTCTAGAATCTAACAACTATGCTATGTCTAGCTCTATAATTATGCTATACCCAAAATCTAACAACTATGTAATGTTTAGTTCTAGCAGTATGCTATGTTTAAAATTAATTATTATTATTTTTTTTAATATTAAGGTGATCACTTAGGCTCCTGGCATGTAGCTTTATTTGGATAGTTACGGTATTACATCAATTTTACGAGAATACAACTAGCCATATGTATACTTTGGTACCTAATTTAAGTAGTTCATCTGGGTTCTACACTAGCCGCCATACTTGCAACCTAACTAGAAGATTATCTATTTAAGCTCTCTGATTATTTTACTAATAAAAGTATGACTAGCCATATATGCAACTTTTGGTTACCTATTTAAATAGTCTGCCCTAGGTTCCACACTAGCTACTATACCTGCACCCAACTATAGGAGATACACATTTAAATCCTCTGGCTCCATTTCTGTAACATGCTTATTCTAACACTCTTAATGAGATTAGCAATACCATGAAATGACCCTAAGACTTTAGCCACATAGGCATTTATCCTTGTGGTAAATCTAACAGAGTGGTACATGTCCCACACATGTACTCACCTGCGTGTTCAGTAATTTTTTCCCAACTAGTACATGTTGTGCTGCCGCTACCAGATCTGTATCTCAAGCTATCTTTTTGAATACTGCCATAATCTGATCCGTATCTCAAGCCACAACCTTCCTAATTAGTTCTTACTTATATACTCCTGCTCTTGCAAGGTTCACAACAACCTCAGTACCCATGTTCCAACTTCTTTCTTTCTCAGATTTCTTACCGGTCCCTTCCTTACTTCCAGCCGGCAACCTGGAAAGGCTGGTCTGCCTAGGCTCTAGGTGCCTTATAGTCTCCCTCCCCTTGGTACATGCTTCTAGAGCACAAGTCTTTTTCCTCCGGTGGCGAGCTGCGGTTCGCTAGTGTGTCCTCCACTTAAGAACCTAGTCGCTCAGTTCTCCAGTCTCAGTCTCCAGTTCCAAATTCAGTCTTCCTATAGCACCATCAAAGATCACTACTACTCCCAGCATAGCGGGCTTTATTATGATTGGCTGATTTTGCAGATCATTTTATCATAGTAAAGCCTTATTAGAGTAACGATTTGCAGTCACAAGAATGGATTCGGAGCCACGAATACGAATTCGGAGAATGTAAGACAAAAAACATTCGAAAGTTCACGCCTTACTTAATGAACTGTCAAAGTAATTCGGTAATACGTGAAGTAATTCGGAAGTTAAATGAGAAGCGTTTTTTTACTTTTATAGGTACTGCTTTAATAAGAATGTCGAGAGATTTGTACAGCAAGAAACATTTTCAAGTTTAAACCTGACAAGAACTTAAGCTAAGTAAAATACAATACAAAACGTTTAGTTTGATAGTAAACGAATATTTGGATTATTAAATAATATTTAGTTTGATAGAAACGAATATATGAATTATTAAATAATATTTAGTAAAGCTTTTTTTTTATTAATTTGTCTTTGCCCTTAGTACATCGGTCGAAGATCTTACGCGTTGAGGATATGAATGTTGAAAGGTGAAGGGAGGGATAGCGTTAGATACGTAAAAGAGGTGTTAACGGTCTAAGATCTCGTGTTAAATATAGAATGAATATTAAATATGAAAGAAAAGTGTAGTAAATGTAAAGCAGGTGTTGAAGTCGTGTGATTAAAATATTTAATATAAATGTATTAGAAACTTCTTTGTAAAAATATCAATAAAATATTATTTATACTATAAGAATTAATGCAATAAGTATAGTAATCATAATGTAGTAATCATAATGCAATAAGTATAATAAGTAATAAAATCAATGAAATAATTTTATTTATTTAAAAAAATTTGTATAAAGTACAATTTTTAAATTAATTTCAAAGCCTTAATCGATAACAAAATCTATTTCAAATTATATATTTGTTAAAGTACTTATAGCCCCTTCAACAAGCAAGTCTACATTACTACAGTCTACATTCTTATCTAAAAAAAAATTTTCGTCGCTAGTATCATCATTGGCTTCAGCAACCTCTTCGTCTTCGGGCTTCTTGGTTTTTGCTTTTTCATCCGATGATTCCAGTGTTTTAACGAAAAGGAGCTTGATAAATGTAACTGTAAAGTGAAAATCCCAAGATACTTAGGTGCATTATTTGTTTGTTCTTTGTGCAAATACGATCTTTACAAACGTGGAAAACAAGATGCACTGTAACTTAAGGCATATGTAAAAACAAGAATGAGTCCAGAAGCCACACTTTAGTACAATTTTTGATCGATTGGTTCTATTATGTCTTGAAGCATTAACTTTATGCTATGTTCCTTGCTTGATGTTTTCGGTAAACTATAAAGCGATAATATCATTGATGCGTATTTCAAAGGAATGTTGATCAAATTTGTTGCAAACCCTTTATTCTCATTTTATTCATTCATGCCTTTCATTTTGTCCTTGACTTTTTGTTTACGAAATTCGAATAATTCGTGTATTGAACGAATCAATGAATATTGATAGCACCATTTAGTTATTGCGTACTGTAATCCCAATAATCCACCAATGAAGTATTTATTTTCTTTAATTGAACTTTAAAACAATCTAAGGTCTATAGTTCCATTATGCACAGCCTCACACAAATAAAAGTTTCTTTTTGTAAAGTGCATATATGTATAACCTTAAACTGAAATATAAAATATTTTGTCTACCGATTCAAACAATTAAAAATATACAGCATATACTGTATGTATACAATATATATATATAGTATATTATTTATTTATTATATATTTATACACATTGTGTATACTCCAATAAAGAAATTGCTTTATATCCGTTTACCTTGTTCATCTAATTTGCTACTCATTCTATTAAAAAGAAAAAATGCACATTTTATTCGATTGTAAGACTTGTGACGCGAAAACCTTTGTATAAGGGTAATTTCACGTGATTTACCTATTTGATAAATATTGACATAAATGTTATATCGCTAACTAAAAAAAAAAGATTTAGATAATAAATATAGTTTAGGCATCAATTGATCCCATCGAACGTGATGAGAGGAAAATGTATGCTAGGATACCAAATCATTATAGTTTATGTGCGGTAAGGTTTCATCGCTAAAGAATTAAAATTTTCGGATACTTTCCAATGTTGTTTATTTCCTATTTTAGGACAATTTTTATTTTATGCCGTTTAAATTGCTATTATTATTTGTAATCACATTGCATATGCATACAGCACTCATACAGCCAATTGCCTATTTAGTAATAATACAATCCCACATCATACTGATAGAAAATTTCCAAATTTCGCTAAGGATTCTAATTTATTATGCCATTTGTATATTTTAAAGGTTATCTGTTCGACGCTATTGGTATCTGTAAGATTTATCCGTCTGATTTCATTGGTTATAAACTTATAACCGTAAAGCTAATACGTATGCACAGACACTTCAAACTTCATACTGGAATTATATCTCAATTGATAGAATAAGACATTCTTCAATCAATTTCCATAGAATCTTTCTACAATATAATCTTCTTTAGTGGAATATCCATATACAAGTATCCTATTCGTGTGATGCCGAAATGTGGTCATGATAAATAATTAAACACTGCGCTAAAAAAAGAAAAGAAAAAAACACGTAATATTGTATGAAAAAACGGGTATGCTTGGAACGGTTAATGGTATAAGTATTATATGTATTTTAAAGTTAGCGAATTAATGAACAGTATTCATATGTGTGTTTGTATATATGCTTATTATTATGCAGTTATGTCGATAGCAATCATGATAATCGTGATCGAATGCTGAGAAAAAAAAAGCCTCCAGGTAACCTAGTCATTTAAAGTTTATTAATTTTAAGTTATTGTATTTAATGTCTAGATTTATCACAACAATTCGGTTCTGTGTAAGCCACCTATTGTATATGTGACAGTCATGATCGAATGAATATCTTAAATTGATATTTCTGGACGTTTGCTTTAATCACTAAATGTGGTATCTATAAAATTCTTGTATATTCGGGAGATAGTTTAGCTTCTTAGTGGATCAAAAATACGATGCATATAATCAGAAAACAAGGTGCATATAATCAAGATGTGTTCGATTTTCAACGGAATCCCATTCCACGCGTATTTCTTTCTTAATCTCTTAAACTCATTGAATTGCCAAAAATAAAAAATAAAAAAAAAACCATTGCTGTATGCAATGTCTTTCAATCGTGGGAAAAAAAATGTGCATATACTTAAGAGGTGAAAACTTTCGTTCATATCAATGTCGTAGTTAGTTTTACAAACAAGATTTAGCGGTATAAGCTCCGATCAGTATCAGTATGGAATCCTATTCATATACATGACGCTATTGTAATTATTGTTTCGTCTCCATGTTTATAACACCCTGTATATATTAAGCGGTATTCGGGTTCCTTATTTATTTTTGTCTGGACGCAGCAGAGGACTTACAATGGATAAATATGGTAGTACCATAAAAATGATTTTTTTTCGGTCGATTCGAATAAGTTGATTTCGGCATGATACATTTAATAAAAGCTATATATTTTTGTTTACAGATCGTTATAACGATAATATCAACGTTATTAAATTTTCATTCGAATGCTTGTCCAGCATGTTTAGTTTGTACAAGATTTATTTTTTTTTATTTTTTTTTTTAAGCGAGGTCTTTCCTCCATTCCTTTATTTGATATAATTATGATTTACAATTGTAATGATACATTATATTTTTGGGGAAGGGGATATAGCTAATTTACTTTATACCTAAATCTTAGCTAGATAGATCAAGAACCTCTAGTCTATGTAATGAATGTAGTGTGGTAAGTCGTTTTTGTCTATGTATTTGGCTAACCATTTATTAAATTTTAATGGGTCAAAGAAGTTGGTTTAGAGTTATTATTAGTAAACAGGGCGTTATTTTGGTTTGGTAAAATGTTAAAAGTTATTGATAAATTGGGTTGTATTTTATTATCTTGATAAGGTGCTATTCGAGAGAGAATCCATATTTGGTTATGTATTTTTTTATTATTTAGTAGTAAAGCTATATTATAGTGTGTAGATATATTGGTCAATTGGAAATAGTGTAACTCTCATGATGATTTCTAATAGAGTTTTAACTTGTATATGAGCTTTTATATATTTGTGAATAAATTGTTGGTGAGGAGGGTTAGAATATTATTCTTCCTGGGATATCTTAGTAATAACTTGGATTATCTGTTAGATTGAGGTAATGTTAGTAGGGCATATTAACTAGTAAGCGGTATCTTCAGATTGGTTGTTGCATCTTTGGCAATTTGGAAGGTATATTTGTCTAAATGTTGGTTATGCAGGTTGAAAAATTTAAGTAGCTCTTCTGTTAGTAATTTTACTTTAAATAATTTAAGGTTTGCTTTAGTAAAATTTATTGTTCTTGTAAGAAATTTATTTCTGAAAATTATATATTTATAAGTTAGATATCTAAATACGTTCGTTTAATGTTATAGCCATTTTTGGTTTCGGTTTTAGTGTAGCTAAATATTAATTTTTTGGGCTGCTTATAAGTGTTTGATGGTCTATTTTAGAGAATAAAAGATTATATATCCAAGTAGAGAGTGTGTAAAATTGTTAACAAGAATCTTAGAAGAGATAAATTTAGTGGCTATTGGTTTTGCTATATTGGTTAAGGTGTTAGTGTTTTGATTTGAATAGTAATAAATTTTGCAGTAGTTAATGTTTGTAGTCGATCCTTATTTATCGACTTGACTAAGTCGATATTTAAAATTCGGCTTAGCCGGCTAAGTCAGAGTCGATTAATATTTTTTACCTTCGGATTTTATCGGAGATTTTATCAAATTTTTGTCGCGACCTTGCTCAAGTTCTATTTTTCTTCGGAATTTTTCGGTTCCTACTCTTAGTACTATGTACCAAGAGAGGTAATGTATCGAATCTGATTGGTACTTTAATATAATCTAACATAAATCGACTAGGTCGATTTTTTGGAAATCGGCTAAGTCGATAAAATCGACTATGCGAAATCGACTACAAACACTAGCAGTAGTAATTGTTACTTATACTTTGTAGATATGCTGTATTGTTGCTATTTTTAAGTTCTTAATACTGTATAAAATATTAGTTATATTAAAAAATATGTGTTTTAAATATATTAAAAATATGTTAAGTTGGTATTTACTATAAAGATAAGTTCTTTTAATACTATAGTAAAAAGAATTAAGAGTAAAATTAGTACAATTTTTTGAAGATAGACTATGAATTATTGCAAATTGTAAAAAATAAATTATTTTTTCTAATAGATAAAATAGATATAAAATAAATTTTATTTTGTTATTATTTAAATAATAGTATTGGGGTTTGAGCTCTATAGCTTATTTGTTAAGTTGCCAAACCTCTACGAAAGTTAAGTCAAGGTTCATGCAGCATTTTTGCCTTAATTTCTTCAAACCACTTAGACTTTTGCCTCTTTTTGAACCTGGCTTTTAATAGTTTTAGTTTTCTCCATGTAACTAGCTCACACCTATTTTGATTAAGTAGTTAATTAATATAATTAATATAAAAGATATTGAGCTTTCTAATCTCACTACAATATTTAACAAATATCTTTCTATCCAACACCTTACATATTGTAGGCTTATATCTAAAAATTTGTCATAGTTTATCATTTTGTCACAATGATATTTCTTGTTTACTTGCTCTTGCTATAATTAACCTTGCTAGATTTAGCTTCTAGATCTTTTTAAATATTTTAAGAAATTCTGTCTGCTATTGCTTATCTACTAGCTCTACTAGTGCATATCTCTTTGCTATACAAAGTCTGGTTATTTCTCCTACTTGATTCTTACTATTCAAACATGTTTGTAGTCTAACAAATTGGCAACTAAAAATCTCTTAATATAGTATTTTGCATTTTCCTATTCCTGGATACAATATTAGGTAGTTCTTTGCTATTGCTAAAAATCTAATTTTGTATTTAATTATCTTTACTATTAGTTGATATATTTGTACTAGCCACCTTGGTAGTTTGAAGCATATATGCCAATTTTGGAATAATATATATATTATTTATATATACTAGCTAATTAATTGTCAAACTCTTAAACTACAATGTTCTAGTAAACTGTCTAACTATATTCTTGGCTCTTTTTACTATTAATTTTTTATTGACTTTAATACTTAGCTAAACTTCAAGTAGCCTAGTTAGTTTACCCTTGCCAACTACTTTGAATGAACATCTGTCAACCTTGATACTTTTCTTCTTTTTATAAAGCTTTAAATTTAATACTAGTAGTTTAGATTTTTGGCTATTTATCTGTATATTATTAAACTTAAAAAACCATTAAGCAATCTTAAGTATTCTTTCTATTTGCTTCTTGCATAACTCTAACCATGTTGTGTCATTAGCAAATGCAATTGCTTCCTGCTTTACTATCTTTCTGCTAACTTTATTTTCTCTTATATCAAGCAGCTCCTCTCCTTCTACCTTTTACTCTAATTCTGAGTTATCTTGTATTCTTTGTAGTAGCAGGTTATAAAAGATTCTCCATATCAAGAGTGATATTATCTTACCTTGCTTTATACCATCCTCTGTTTCAAACTTCTCAGTTAGTCTAAATACTATAATTATTTTAACTTGCCTTTTGTTAAACAGCTCCACAATTAGTTTGATAACTTGTACTAGAAGCTTTATTCTTGTGAGAGCCAACTTAAACATTTTGATTAACACTAAATCATATACTTTTTTTATATCTTGAAGTATAATCTATAATTCTTTTTTCTTTTCTTTGGCATCTTTTATAACTATATTAACTAAGCTAATTGTGCTATCTGTTGAGCAACTAGATAGCCTAGCATAGTTTGACCTCTTAAGCATCCTTTTTTCTACTAATATGCTTGTAATACACTATATTAATATTTGTATTATATATTTTTTAAAAGTTTCAAATAGTGCAATTAGTTTGATATTATTTAACTGATATCTCTAGTTCTTGTTTTTTGGAATCAGATATACTTGCACCAACTTCTACTTGTGCAGAATTATACTATTGCTTAAGTACAAACTTGCAAGCTTTAAAAAGACTTCTTGTGCTTTACTGCTTATATTCTTAATTAATACGTATCCTATTCTTGATATTCTTGAAGCTGTTTTGTTTTTAGTTTTACTCAAGATAGCTAACCACTTCTCTACTAAAATCTTTTCTGTTAGGTAATTATACTATTCTTTACTTACTTCACTAAGTGGTCTATAGAACTTATTTATAATTTTTGTCTTAAGCTCAATATTTCTCTTCTTGAATTGACTTTAAAAATATTCCTTTGACTTCTCTAATACTTCATTGGGCTTATTGTACAATATTTTCTTGTTGCTAGTTTGCTCAAGTAATTTGTTAATATTAATCTTCTTATATAGTTTTTCTAATATACTTGCTAGCATTCTTTCTATATCACTATCTATTTTTTTGTATCTCTTGTTTATTGCCTCTTTTATTTGTTTACATATATTGCTATCTTCTTC